TAAAAAGGAGAATAAAATGCTTTCAAAGCTGAATTAAAATTTTGCAATTTTTGTACAATTTAAAAATGTAACTTTGCCAAAAAAAAAATTTGACAGTTTTAAAGCAAAAAATATATATATAATTATATCCTGAACAACTCCTGTTAGAGGATCAAAAAGATTATCTTAGTACAAAAAAAAGTTTTCTATGTACTAATTTCAAAATTTTCAGTTTTTCTATGTAAAACTTTTTTTTCTGCTTAGATAACCTATTCTAACTTCTTAAGCAAATTTGTTTAGCACATAATTTTACATATTTTGTGTCTCGCTGATTTTGTTTTTTTTGAACATTTCAGTCAGAATTATTTCTATATTTGGTTTATTATGTGGTAGATCATTCTAGAACTTGATTCATCACATATACATAATCTAGAAAATTGATCATCTAATTTTAAGTTTTTTGAACGTTTTCACGAGTTTCACATGATAAATCTACACAGGTTGTCTTTATAACATGAAGAACTCTTATGAAACTAAGAAGTTCCAAGCAAGTAATTTTATAATCAGTCAAAACTTTTTTATAATCAACTCGTTTTCGAAATTTATAAATACAGCAAAACGCGGACTTATTTAAGTTATTTGACTTACAAAGCTCGATTTTTTTTTTCTTTTTCTGTTAGAAATATGAATAAGTGCCCCAATCTTTACTTTGTTAATATCGGTCCCTTTTATAAGTACTCTGGTCTTTACCTTTTTAACGTTGGACCCACTCTTATAAGTGTTCTAATTTTTACTTTGTTAGCATTGGTCCCCTCTTTCTGCCCTGATCTCTATTTTGTTAATGCTGGTCTTCTTCCTTTTATTAATATAATAACCATTCTGATATTATATAACCGCTAGCATTACGTGGTTCTGTACTGGCTCGAGAATATTACCCACTATCGCTATAAGAACTAGTGAGTAGTAAATTCATTTGATCACCTTATATCAAGATTCATTGATATTAAGTTTTATATAATTTTTTTTTATTAATGGCAACTAACCAACGACCAAAAGCGAAAGACCTACCATATGTCTTCGCCACTTTTTTTGACAAATATAAAGATATTGGGTTGTTAGGATATGAAACGAAGGAATCACAAACTATACGGCATGCAAGTAGTGAAAAACCAAAGAATCGTCTTCAATTGTATCATACCTTTTTTCCTGAGTTGGTTCAAATTCAAATGCATTTAGAAAATTTTTCTTTATGCGAAATACATTATAATCAATTAATTGCATCAGATTTTTTATGTCAACTTCTTTTAAGTTCAAATTTGCTTAGTACTAGTAATTGACGTGGTAATAGAAAAAGAAAAATAGATAATGAGCAGGCTCGTACAGAGCATGCTGTAACAGAAATTGAAATAAACGTATGTAATAACATGCAAGTTAATAAACAAACTACTGAAGTTGCTATGCAAGTTAGCAATGAAACTCATGAGATTGGTGTTCAAGTATCCGATGATACGTTGTTTACTCTTGAAATTCTTAAAACTCATATTGATCTACTTCAATTATAGTTAAATTCGCGAATAAATAAGGTAGAAGACCTTAAAAAACAATTAGAATATGTGTACAACTATGTAGTAGAAAGTTGGGAACATAATCAAGTAATTAATAAAATAAATAGAGAATTAACTGAACAAAATAATGCGTTAAAATATAAATAGAAAAACCAATATAGTAACCAAATAAAAAGAATTGATTCTATAATTCAAATTGTCAAACAGAAACGTCAAAGCATTTACGATGATATTGGGTCGCTGATTTTAAATAGGCAATGGTTTTCACTTAGTAATTTATTAAACTTTGCACCCGATAATTGGTTAGCTAACCGTAATTCAGTTTTCATCAATTTTATTAATACTATTATGCATAGTGATAATAATAACTGTAATATTTATACATTGAATGAAAAGGTTTTTAAAAAAATGGTTGCTGTTGATGCTATATACGGATCGAGACATAAAAACTACGTATCAGAAATAAATCTAGCTATAACCGGAATCAAATATTCGATCACACGATCGAAAACAATTATTGATATTGATAACCATGTAATTAGTTCTGAAAGTTATACAAAATTTATTAGTTGGCTAGAATTATTAGCAGTCGAAAATGAACCCTTACCTAAAGGACTCTTATTTTTAGCCTTCGATAATGAGCAACGTGATCAACATAATTACCTTGATCGTGGTTATAACACAGTTATATACTATATAGTTACAAGTTTTATCGCACTCAATATGAATAAAAATGATCACGCTCAATTTACGATTTCCCCTTGGCTTTGCGATTCACTAACTGATGAACAATATGATAAGCTTTATTATATTGCACCCGAAATGCAAGCAGAACATGAGTTAGAATTAAAAATATACTTATCATCAATTTTAGAGGCAGCGAGCCAAATTCCTCACCTCGACTAATCCCTATTACTGCTCAGAAAGAAGCAGCAGCCATGGATGAGAAAAATATGACGAAAAAAGAGCTTTTAGCAATTATTAATTTATTGCTAAATTCCATCAATATTTTAGATCGTTCAAAGTATTGTGGGTTATAGCAAAAAACTAATAACGAGTTGCTAGAAATTTTGCAAAGTATTAGAGATCTATATAATAATCAAAACGAACTTGAAAACGAGATAAAATTAGAAAAATAAAATAAATAAAAACCCTGACAGGTGATTAAGATGGTGAAGAAAAAGTCTAATTCCATTCACTATAAGAAAAAATAAACTTGAATTATAAATTGTATTGTATTAAAAAGAAATACAGTACAAGATAAACGAGCCAAAGTATTCTTTAATACTTATATTCATATAAACGCTAATAATCATTAGTTAAGAGTTTTAAATATTTGATATTTTATTAAAAATCTTACTTGTTCGAATTTTAATTTATATATGTGATCATTTTGTTTTCTTGCCCAATCTAGATAGTCATCGATTGAGGGATTTTCTGTCGCAGCTACGTATAGCCATAATAATTCACATGTAACGGCATACTGATAAATATTACAAATAGAATCCCATGACTTGTGATGATCAGCGCACTTTTTAAAAAACCCAAGTTGGTTTTCAGTTCTGTATCCTTGAATAGAAGCGAATTGTTTGATATCAATCATTCTTAAAAAAAATATAAGATAATAGTAATTTTATATCAGAAGTATAATTCGTATTACTAAATAAGAAAAATTGATATTGATATTAGTACCAATTTAATTCTATGAATGCCTTGAGCATATTCATTTCTTCGTGCAAGGCACCGGGAATCAATATAAGCCGTGAAAAGTCTTTTTTATTATTTTGAGCTAGAGTATAAGGAACATCATCGCAGGTAACAGGTAGCCACTTTCGTTCTCCCTGGTTTATTTCTGTGATATCTTGTATATATTCTAGAACTTTTTTGACATTATCTATTGAGTTAGGATTAACTTCTAATGGATCTGTTACATACATTTCAGGAATAACAACATTGTGCTCGGGATTAGACTGTGTAATACTAATACGATCAAAATCAGAACTGCTTTGTTTATAAGCAAATATATGAGGTTTTATTGCAATGGATTTTGATTGGGAGACTATATTAATCTGGGTAAGCTCGTTAATGGATTTTGCTCGTAAAATAGCCAATGTATCTAGTTTTTCATTACATTTAGGACAAGTTCGTTTTTTATTATCGATATTAGTCGTATTGCATTTTTTACACCATTTAGATTGACCTTCAGTGCCTTTTTGATTTTTTATGATTAGGTCAATCGCGTTGATTTTTTCATTTTTTTCAGCAACAAGCTCCTCTAAAATTGATGATAAGTATATTTTTAATTCTAACTCATGTTCTGCTACTTAAAAGTTCAACAACTTATCAACTTTACTAAATAATCACCCTTTTTAAATTTTATTTAAATATTTTAAATTGTTAAAAAAATAAATTAGTAATATATAATATTTATAATTCTAATATAGATAATTTATTTGTATTGGCTTATATTTTAAAAAATAATACAGATACAGTCAAGGAATTTACCAAAAATAGATATTAAGGATCACATCTTTTATGATATAAAGATATCAATCAGTAGATTCTAGATATTATAGCACATGACATTAACCAATCAAATTGATCAAAAAATTTTATATACAAATAGCTTATTATTAGTAAAGCTATTAGTGAAAGTTTTATTTTCTACTAAATTTCTAAATAATATTATATTCTATTTAGTTTTACAATTATTTAATATAATATATAGTTTATACTATTAAACAATACTCTATATATTTTTTTTTTTTATCTTCGCAATATCGTAGAAAGGTAAATTTTTATTAGACATTTTAATAGTACATTTTTGGTTAACAAGAGTATATGTAGCCACATATACAACTTTTGATTGCTTTTTAGATAGTCTGTCTAAAGGTTCTATACTATATACTATACCTGTAATCTAACTAGAAGATTACTCATTTAAACTCTCTGATATCTCTTATTCTGCACCACTACTACAATTATGCCAGCCTATAACCTCATGCTGCTTCAATTAAAGACTATTCAGATCGACATATACTATACTACTTGACCCTAATTCTATAGATAACCTAATAAAGTTTTTATATTACTGAGTTGTTCTAGGAAAAGTGTAGTACATACCCCTAATCTTTCTATGTTTTACATATTTCATACTATCTAAACTAGTCTCTACTCTAATCTATATAATTAGTATATCTAAGCAAAAAAATTGTAAGAAGCAAAAAAATTAGCTTCTTCGACATCGTTACTATAGAAAAGTCAGAAATCTGTACTATAAGTATCGAAGCATTGTTTGTTTAAGTTGCTACTTCTGAAGCATATAATCAACATATCTATATTCTATATATAACCACATGTTTGTTGTGACAGGTAAAAGTAAACAATGCTAACCAATTTGGTAAATAAACAATATATCGATCTTTTGGAAGATAAGCAAACTCACCCACTTTTTTACAAAATTTTTTTGAAAAAAAGCAGAGAGTCAACAAGAATATATGAAGTTCTTTTGTAAGTTTTACAGTTGTATAGACAATTCTTCAAGTTTTAACTATCTTAGTGAGAGTCTTTTGACTACTACTTGTTTCCAGAATAGCCTTTTTGGTTTAGATGCCAAATAACTTAGAGAGTCCATCTAATATAGCAAAGACTTAACTTCAAGAAAAACCATCCAAGTTATGCCTGTTCCTTGGTATATCACATCTTCTAGACTTCGTTAACAACAACCTATACTTAGATAATATCAGTTCCTAGAAAACTCTTCTAGTTTGGATACCAAAAAACTTAGGAAGTTTACCTTTAAGCAGAAAGAAGGCTTGACTCTAAGAAAAACTGTCTAAAGTACATCTGCTCCTTAATATTTTACATCTTCAAGCTTTGTTAACAACTGTATTACTCTAAAGTAAAATTAAGAGGTATTTATTTTAGATATTTCTATATCATTTTTCTGTAGTTCAATTTACTGTTGTTGTTGATTAGAAGATCATTAGAAAGAGTGATAATTAAAATATATATGCTTACTCTATATATTATTAAACAATATTAAATTATAACTAAATTTACTTTAAATATCATGTATTTTTTCTGCAAACTGTTTTTAATATTTATATAGTTATAACTAAATTAAAAAAAAATGTTACTATATATAAAATAAACTTAAAAACTTTGAAATACTAACACAAAACTTTAAACTAATCTTAAATTAACTGACAACAAATCTAAACCTTCTATATAAAGTAAATACCTATTTTTAGTTTCTTATTTATTTCTATCCAAAGGGTTTATCATGAGAAATTCTTTAGGATAATGGAAACTAGATGTTTTGAACTATATACTCAAAGCTTATTTGGTTTTGATAATTATTAAAAAAAATTTTTTTGAATATGTGACTTTTAAAGAATAAAAGACATATAAAAGCTAACCAAATAGTTGATCTTTAGTATAAGTGGGCATATATAATTATTATACAATTATAATATATATAAATTAACTATTTTGAACTAATTTAAGTAATTTAATAAATTATTAGGGTTAGGGTTAAGGATAAAATTAAATTAGCTCAAATTAATTAGCAGTCAACCAATTTGTCACATCTAAATTTTTTATATATAAAATTATAGCAAATTATATAGAATTACTTATAAACTTTGAAGCTGTGATGTTTCTTCCCTTACATATTAACTTTAAATTAAATTTTATGAAT